GTTCTGGAGGCCCAGTCAGAGTCCAGACCTCAGTCCTACTGAGAATTAGTGTCTGGACTTGAAAGGTTCTGTTCACTCATCATGATCCCTGTGGAACCTGACAGAGCTTTGACATGAAAAGTCTTGTTTTTGTAAATTCTTGTGAAGAAAGCCAAACTTTCTGCACCATTGATCAGTGCTGACGGGCAGTAAAAGATTAAACCTCCCCGTCATGTGTCCCTCTGGTTTCTTTAGGGTGTCTACATGGGCTGGTTGACGGCGTCGGGCAGCGGCGCTCGGACGCTGGGCCCCGTCTTCGTCTCCCACGTCTACACCCTCCTGGGCCCCCGCTGGGCCTTCAGCCTCATCTGTGGGATGGTGGCCGGCGCCGTGGTGCTGCTCGGCTCCGTCTACCACAGACTCATCGCCTTTTCTGTGCGCCACGGAAGGACAGTGGACTGACACCGTGGATTCGTATTTGGCCAGGCTGGAGTGACCGCCTGCTGCTGCTGCTGCTTTATACTTTAAGATGTGGTACCTGATAAGCCTTAAAGATTTCCTAACTCAGGGTTCTGACCTTTAAACTCTTAACGCGATAAGGCCGAGGTGAGTGACGACGGCTGCTCGGTGAGGTTTAGAGGAGCACTGCAGCTGCACTTTCACTTGCTGTGAATGAAGTTGTGGCACATGTTGATGAAGAACACTGGAACGTGATGATCCGTGTCACAGAAGATGATGCGGTTCGTGCTGATTAAACATTCCCGTCACTGAACTGGTGAGAAATATTGAAAATATTTTTCCTCTTCTCGTGTTAATGGCTTCACCTGTGGTTCAGAACTGCAGGTTTTTGTTTACCTGAAATTATGCAAAGTGACGTGTGTCTGCTAACAATTAACTGAGTGATGCATTAAAGATTTTATGTGATTTTATGCTTTTATTTTCCCCTCATTAACACTGTATGGTATTTTTATCATGTCCTACGTTCACTCTGATGATGGAAAAATGGTCTTTGTGTTAAAATAAATTATATCCAACGTGAGCCCGACTGAAAGAAGAAAAACATAAGAAGCGGTCTAAAGAAAACAGAAATGAAAGAATGTAATGTGACGTTTGTTGTGGTTTAATGTGTGAAAGCTCTAAAAACTAATATGTGATTAAACCGTTGACTTATTACTTTACGTCAGTGAAAGTTGAATCTGTTTGCTGGAGTCCAAACACTTGTCGTGTTGATTACGGAGGTTTTACTGGAACAGCAGCAATAAAAAACACATTTTATGGTTTTATTACAAGTTGCTGTAGTTTAATAAGTTATTAGTTATGTTAGTTATTTGTGTTCTATGACTTTATGGCTCATCTCTTCTCCTGGAATATTTAAATGGTCCGTCGCCCAAATGTGCCTTAATATCCAGATTTTTGACATTTCTGTGGATTAATGTCCCGGTTTTGGATGTTTTGTTGTATTAATATCCAGGTTGTTGACATTTTGGTGCATTAATATCACGATTATTGGTGCTGTTGTGCATCAGTGTCCAGTTTTTTTTTTCATTTTTGTGCATTATTATGAAGATTTGTAACATTTTGGTATGTTAACATCCAGGTATTTGACATTCTTATGCATTAATCTCCAGGTTTAGGACTCTTTGGTGTGTTAATCTCCAAGTTGTTGATGCTATGGTGTGTCAACATCCAGATTTTTGGACATTTTGTTTAGTTAATATGCAGGTTTAGGATGTTTTTCAACAACAATACCCAGGTTTATAACGTTTCGGTGCATTCCTATCCAGATTTTTGAGGATTTGGTGCGTTAATCTCCTCATTTTTTTTGCCTGTTTTACTGGGTCATATCCAGGTTTTTGACATTTGGATGCATTCATAGCCACATTTTGGATGTTTTAGGGTTAATATCTAGGCTTGGTTTGTTAATATCTGGAATATTAGTGTTTTAGTGTGTTATTCTAAAGATTTGTCACATTTTGTTGCACTAACATAATTTTTTTTTATATTTAGGGTATTATTATTCATGTCTTGACATTTTGGTGGATTAATATCCAGATTTCTGGTGTTTTGTTGCGTTTATGTCCAGGTTTGTTGCAGAGCTTTACTGGTTCAAGGACTCAAGCTAAAGTCATTATACACAACATAACAAATAGTTTATTTAACAGTCTGAAAGCTGAGATAAAGTGGAATTATAGTTTTAGGTTTTTCAACAGTCTTGTGCTTCAATATTCAGATTTTGGACACTTTGTTGTGCTAATGTTGACGTTGCTGATGCTATGGTGTGGTAATATCCAGATTTGGAACATTTCTGGGATTTATATGCAGTTTTTGGACGTTTTTCTCCAGTAATATCTAGATTTTAAAAGTTATGGTGCATTCCTATCCAGATTTTTTATGATTTGGTGTCTTAATAGCCATAGTTTTGGCATTGTGTTGTGTTAAATCCAGTTTTTTTTTATATTCTGGTGCAAATTTTGGATGCTTTGGGTAGTTTGGAATGTTTTTATCGGGGGTTATCAAGTTTTAGTTTGTTAATATCGAGGCTTTTGATGTTCTGTTGCGTTGACATCGTAGTTTTGATATTTAGGGGCATTAATATCCACATTTTGGGGCATTATTATTGTGTTTTCGTGTTTGTTTTGATTTTTGCACAGCGTCCAGTCAAACTTCTGCGCAGCCGCCGTGTGTCCGGCAGGGGGCCATACACAGCGCGCATGCGTCAACCCAAAAGCCAAGTTCCGTGTCCGTTCGCGCACAGAAAAGTTGGGCGCGCGGGCGCGACATGTTGACGGCGGCGGTATGAGGCTGCCCGCGTCCACGTAGCGTGAAAATAACTCGGCGCAGCAGCGAGGAGAGCCGTGGCGGGACGCAGAGCTCCAGACATGGACATTTTCGGAGACGACACCGGTGAGAGAAGTCCGGCTGCAGCCGCTGTCTGGAAGTTAGAGGCTAGTTTAGCTAGCAGGCTAACGCGCCTGTTAGCAGCAATCAGTGTTGACCGGATTTGTTTGTTTGTTTTTGTCTCTTCCAGAGTTTACGGACATCCGCATGGTCGTAAGTAAAACTCTCCTCCCGGAGCCCGGACGTTGCGGAGCGGGGTCGCGTTGGCGCGTCGCCCGCTGACAGGCGCGATGCTGCGGCCTCAGAGGAGCCGCCGCTCCGACAACTTTGTCCGGTTCGGCTCCGCTGATGAAGTGGAAGCTGTCAGAACATAAACCCAGTCTGTAGTCGGTCCGGAGGGTTTGACCCATCACAGGACGGGATAGTAAACCGCTCAACAGGCCATCTGTGTTGGCGGTTCAACCTTCATTAAATCATTAAAATCCGGATTGTTGACACTTTGGTGCGTCAGCGTTCAGGTTGTTTACTTTGTGGGTGTGTTTACATCCAGGATTTGTCTGTTTACCCACAATAATGTCCAAGTTGTTGATGTTTTAGTCAGTTTATATCCAAATATTTGAAGCTTTGGTGCGTTTTTATGCAGGTTTAGGATGTTTGCGGGTGTTCATATCAAAGTTTTTGACATTTCGGTGCAGGAATATCCAGGTATTTGAAGCTATGTTGCATCAGCATCAAGGACTGTAATGATTTGGTGAATTAATTTAGTGGCTTCTGACATTTTGTTGCGTTAATATTGTGTTGTGTTTAATAATAACCAGATTTTGGATGTCTTAGTGTGTTAATATCCAGTTTGTTGACGTTTTGGTTTGTTATATTGAGTTTGCAGATGTTTTAAGGTGTTAAAATCCAGACTTGTTGACATTTTGATGTGTTAATATTCAGGTATTTGACTCTCTGGTGCGTTATTATTCTGGTTTTTGACACTCTTGTAAATGAATATCCAGTTGTATTTGATATGTAGACGTGTCAATACTAAACATCCTGCAGTTACTGTGCTCCTGTAATGGGCTTTCCTTCAACTCCTGTCTCTTTTAAATGTGCTATATCAGCAAAAGTGACTGGACTTCTAGTAAAATGTGACACTTGTCCCATGTAGATGCGGAGTTGTTCCCATTGTCTACGTGTTCACTAGAAGCCCGTCTGCTGGTGTGTAGCCACTGAGTCAGGGCTTTTTCTCTGTAAATGAAAGTGAAACTTAAGGACGTGTGAATCCTCACTGAGGCTCCAGTGTAGGCGGACATGGAGAAAGTTTCAAGGCTGAAGCTGAGGAATGCGACGGCTGCAGGGCTGCCATTCACGTCTCTTTTCTCTGCCCAGCAAAAGGTGGTGAACATGTTTGACGGACGTCCTCACATGCAAAGGATCATAACATGTGGCCTGTTTGGTGAGACGACATCATCGTTTAACGCTCAAGTCTGGAAAATTCCATTTAAAATCGAGCTTTTGTTTTAAATTTGGCATCTCTGGTTTTGATTTTATCTCCAGGTATGGAATACAGTGAGGAGCTGGACGATACAGGTGAGGACGATTTCGACCATTGGGCACATGGCAGTTTCCATGGATACGGGAGGCTGCCCGGGAGGAGTAACGATAGAGGATTAAATAGAAACCCGATGTCCAGCTCCGTTTATCCCCCTCCGCTGCATTACTACGCTTCAGCTCATGAGGCTTCCCAGCCCGCCGTAAAAGTTAACTCCAGAGACAACGTAAGTTCAGTTTTCCTCTGTTTCAGATGAGTCTGCTTCAGAGCTTCAGACGGTGCTGTACTTATTACGCTTCGTTCCCGCAGGATACTGAAAGAAAAACCAGATTATTACAAGAATCTAAAAAAGGCAAAAACAAGGCTGAGAAGAAGCGGCTCAAGAAACAGGTAAGTTCTGCTTTCTCCAACGCCAGCTGCTTGACCATCGGGTGAATCTTGTGTCAACCAGTTCATCGTCCAACAGAAACAGAAGGAAAGAAAACAGCGCGAGAAGCTGGAGAAGGACAAAAAGCAGAACCCCGCCAGAGACGAAGAGGTGACGACAATCTGTGAGACGTCTCGAAAACGCAGGCGAGCGTCGAGTTTTCATTGTGACGGGGTTTGTTTGTGTTCGTTTTACAGGATAAAGACGACGCTCAGCAGCCCGAAGCGGAGGACGGCGGAGCGGCCGCAGATAAATACGAAGACGATACCGGTTCAGGTGTTAAACTGTCGGCTTCGGCCAAAGATACAGACACGAGCGACAGCAGCGAAAACGAATCCAGTGATGAAGACGCCAAGAACGACTCGAACGACTCAGAGGTTTGTCCTACATCATGAATATATTCTGAATCTGTGATTAAATTAAAGGAAGAAAACGACATCTGGTGTCTTCGTATGTTGTTCCTCCGACGTCTCAGAGTGTGCTCAGAGTTTAGTAGAATACTTTTGGCTGAATTTTAAGCGAAAAAGTGTGAAATTTGTAAACAAATGTGGCCTTTAGAACCCAGAAAGTTCCCATTAGTGTCTATATTTATGACTGTATCCATGTTTCCCACTAAAATATAGTCTTTGGTCGACATTTTACCAACTTTTCTGGCCTCTAACTTCAGCAGAGTTTGATGTGTGACGTGTTTTTTAAACCAAGCTTCCAGTTTTTTGTTGTTTTGGACATAATTGTGACTGAAGCTCCTGCCTTCTGCACCCCAACAGTCTCGCCAACGTTGCTTTGAGGTTTTTGGCTTCCTGATACACAACCAACTGGGCCTATTTTCATACATTTTTATACATGTTTGTGCTTTAATATCCAGGTTTTGGAGGTTTCGGTGTGTTACTTTCTGGGTTTTTAATGTTATTGTGCTTTATTATCCAGATTTTTGTGGTTTTGATGGGTTGATATCCAGTTTTTGAGCATTTTACTGGGTTTACATCCAGAGTGGTGATGCTTGTGAGTGTGTTTTACTCTGGAATTTTGCTGTTTCGCTTCAGTAATATCCAGGTTTTGGACATTTTGGTGCAGTAGTATCCCGGTATTTGAAGCTGTCGATGCATTCACGTAGAGGTTTTGCAGTGCTGATGTCCAGGTAGTTGTAGCCAAGATGCAGAAACATTCAGGTTTTGGACATTTTGTTGTGTTAATATCCAGGTTTGGCTGTTTTCTTGTGGTGATATTTATGTTTTTAATGTTTTGATACATGTTTTTGACATTTAGGGGCATTAGCATTGAGGGTTTTTACTCCTTTGTCATGTGTCTACACCTTAACTTCAACATCACACGACTGTTTTGGGGGTCTCATGCTCGAAGTTGCTGCTGTTTTGTTAAAATGCGACATTTAAACAGGACTAGCTCCTTTGGTGTCCTTGTTTTATGGAAATCGTTGCCGTTTCTAATGTAGGAATTCTACTAAGACTCGCTGGGAGATGGTGTGTAACAGTAATGTGTGTGTGCGTTTCTGCAGGAACTGGACATGACGAGTACTTTTGTGAGCAAAGCTGCTCTTATAGCGAAGCGTAAACTGGAGCAGAAGCCCAGAGCCGAGAAGAAGGAGAAGAAGAAGACCCCGGGAAAAGAAGAACGTAAAGCCGTCGCCGACAAACCGACTCAAGACGAGGAGGTTGACAAGAAGGTGACGGACGAGTCCAGTGAGTCGTTCTCTTCTGATGCACAGGATTTAGTCGCTCATCTCGTGTTTCCGTCTCAACAGGATTCTGCTGCTCTGAGCAGCTCCGCCTTTGAAGAAAATGTTAAAATAAGCACCAATCTTGCAAGTAAGTCGTATCCTAATGTACACAAATATATTTATTCATCTGTGCATTTGATTTTAACTGAACATCCTCCTTTTTTTTCTAGATATTGGAAATAAATATGCAAGTTCTGGAGACTTTAATATGGCCGTGAAGTATTTTACTGATGCTATTAAGTACAATCCCACAGAGTTTAAGTAAGAACCTCATTTAAAGCACGTTTGCTGTCGGTGTTTACGTCGTCGCTGGGTTTTTAATGCAACGTTTCCTCTGTCGCAGGCTGTTTGGGAATCGTTCCTTCTGTTTTGAAAAGTTGCGCGAATACGACAAAGCGCTGACGGACGCAGAGCTGTCTCTGGGCATCTGTCCAGGTTGGGTTAAAGGCCTGTTTAGGAAGGGACGAGCTCTGGCCGGTCTGAAGGTGAATAATCTACAGTCGACCCTCAAATGCTCCATTTTATGTCTCTGTATTGTGTCCGAGTGGCAGTTAATGTGGCTCAGAAGACTCTTCTGTAACAATCACACAAAAAGAAAGCAGTTTTTAGCTTTTAGAATCAACATTTGAAATTTACGCTGCTTTTGTTTCATTTAGTATTTAAACCCTCTGATCCCTAAAACCTGCCGACGGTTTTGAAAAGATTGTTGTTTGTTAAAGACGACTAAAATTAGACCATTTACCTGCAAGAAAGTGTAATAAAGAAGAAACACTGATTGGATTGTCAGGTCTTTAATGAATCGTAGAGTTCGGTTTCTTTGGGAAAAACGACCAAATCGGTCAAAATTATTTCTACGTGTCTCGTTTGAAAAGTTTCTCGTGACTCCGCTGCTACAATCAGACTTCATGTTTGACCTGCAGGTTGTGTTTACATGGAGGAGATAAGAACTGAGTGTTGAAACAAGATATGAGTCCTAAAATATCCACAGTGTGTAGAGTCACAGGTTTTTCTCAGTGTTGGTGTTTTAAATGCAAAGAAATTAAACTTTTCTTTTTTGTATGATTTATGGCTTTAAAACTTTGTTCAACTCTACAAAATGTTGAGTTGTGTCTCCTTGTTGCTGTGATTGTTGTTTTTATAGCGATGCAGGACTTTATATTGCAGACAGGGTTAAATCTTACATTAAACCGTGACAATAAAATCACAACTTGTGCTTCGCTGTGTATGTTTCGTGGTTGTAGACGTGAATAAGTAACTCGGTTTGTCTCTGTTTGTGGGTCAGGTTGAATCTCTGTGGCCTCGTAGCTGCAGACTCACATGATTCCCTCAGACTTGTTTAGACTGTTGCTGTAATAACAAGCCGGTGGATGAAAACCTTCTTCTTCTCCTCTCAGAGATATGAAGAGGCAGCGCAGGCCTTCAGGACGGTCCTCAAAATGGACAGTTCGTGTGCAGAAGCTGCCCAGGAGCTGATGCGAGTGCAGATAACACAACTAATGGTTCGTCAAAATCAACGCTGCACTCCATGAAACCGCCTTTATTATCTGTATCTGAACAAAAACAGCAGTATTCATGTTCGTTAACCTGCAGTTCTGTGTTTTGTTCTGAAGGGGTTTGGTTTTACGCGGGAGCAGAGCTCAAACGCTTTAATTATTCACGGGACGGTAGAAAAGTCGTTAGAGGTTCTGTCCACGTTAAACGGTCGACCAGGTGAGCCAACCAGGGTCCAACATCTCCAAACACTTTAGCTTCTTCAGAATGTGCTAAACTCAAACACTGCTCTCTGTGTTTCAGGTGTTACTCAAAATGGCGCCGTCCCACCAGCTCAGGTCGTCAACGTCTCCGGAGTCTCTCCGGTTCTTTCAGCCAACACGAGTCCTGCTGCTGCTGCTGCTCGGTACCAGGAGGCCCCAAAACAAAAGCTTATTAACAAACCTTTAGCCCCAGTCCAGAATATGTCCAACGTCCCGAATCAGCCAAAGCCCGTTTATACTCCGTCAATGAAGGCCAGCGATGACGACGGTCGACCGCCGCCGTGAGTGTTGGTTCAGTAAAACTGATAAATGTCTTTATCCGAAAACTCAGTGTGTTTTGTTTTGTTTTACCAATAAAGCTGTTTGTAGCCGCCATTGGTGAAGTCCCTACTTAACCAATCGTTGGCCACTTTTAGCAATAATCAACTCATCGTCAAAATGAAGTAGAAATTTTTCAGTGCGTTGATAAAACTGTTTGTTTTGCCACAAAGTCGGCTCAGTTACAAGCATTAGTTTGACAACCAAATAACGTCAACACAAGGTTACCGAAATATTAGTTCAAATAAAAATAATGACGCCATTTAAACTTTAGATTCTGCGATCGACTCAAGTATCGAACGCAGCAAACGAGCTGCAGTCTTCTATATGATCCTCGCAGCTGATCGATGGATTGTTCTCTGTAGTTAATCCAGCTGCTGGAAACAGCTGCTCAGCCAGAACAGATGTGCACAAATACTGTCGCAGCAGCTTTATTAAAACTGTCAGTGTTGACGACCGCCTCTAGAATGTCTTTATAGTCAGCACACTTTATCACTTTAATGTTTTCAGAAACGTCTAAACAGTCTTGTTGCTGCTGAATGTCTGACTGTGAACTGTGTTAGCATCCTAGCTTAGCGTTAACATTAGCCGCAGGTAGCTAGCTAAACCAGACAGCCGCCACTTTACGACGTGATGCTGCAGAGTTCATCAACACGACGTAAGCAGCTAGACAGCAGGAAGGTGCGCTTGTTTTATGGGCGGACAGCACCTGTAACTCTGTTATTAAAGTGTGTGATGCTCCACCTGGTGGAGCAGCCAGGTACTGCAGCTTATCTATAGCACTTTATGTGACATGCGTTTCCCTCATCTTCTGTCTTTAAAGCACAAAACTTACTTGTTGTGTTGATGTTCCTCCATTGTAGGCACAAATATTTGAACTTTAAAAACTGTGAGCTCAACCTTTTTAACTCCGTGTCCGTTTAAATAGCTCCGTAAATTACAGAAGCGCTACAGATTCTCAATACTAGCCAATCTAAACAAAGGTTAATTAAAAAGATGGTCCTCCATCAGTTTTCGTAATGGACAAGCTTAATTAAGTCGGTGTATTTATGGTTGTTGGTGCTGCTTCACCTTTAATTAGACGGTATATCCCGACGGAACAGAAAATCGTTGGATGCTTTCATGCAGTTCAGACTCTGTTATGAATTATGTTTGTCTGCAAAAAGGTTTTCGTCCGTCACCTTATTATTCTCGTTTTAATGATGTTTTCTTTCCACAGAGAGCTGTTTCCAGTTTGGATCGGAAACTTGAATTATCCAGTACCCGAGTCCACGATTGTCAACCTGTTTAGCAAGTAAGAGATGATGTTGTGGCGTTTGAGTATGATGTTACAGGTTATTTTAACAGTTCAACCAAGTTATTAACTACATATTTAAGCACTTGAGCGTTATTGGTAGTAACTCGTTCTTCTCCTGCAGGGTCGGAGTTGTTTATAGCGCGAAGGTTCTGGTTACCAAACGATGTGCCTTCGTGAACTTTACAAAACAAGAGGATTGCGACGAAGCAATCCATCGATTTCATGTGAGTACGTCCTGAACCGTCTGGACAACTTAGTTCAGTTGTACGACTTTCTTTAATCTCTTCGGTCGTCTGGGAATTCTGTGACTGGAAACCAGGTTGAATAAATCTCCTCAAGATATGAACACACGAACCAGAACTTTATGTAACTGTAAAGTAGGAGCGGAAAACTGGATTTAAAAGGATGTGGGGGAGATTTAAGACGACGGTTTGTTCTAACTCGTAACAGAAATGACTTTGTTGAGGTATATTGTTGACAATGTGCTAAATAGGAACGATGTTGTTGCTCAAAAATCCAGTTTCCAGTTTGTAATTTATTTCACAATAAATTTACACCCACAACTAAAAATCCGTCAACTCTCGTGGTGCGACTCGTCTCAGAACGTCAGGATCACGTGTTTCTCTGCAGGACTGTTGGATTTTATCGTGTTGTGGTTGAGTTCAGTGTCAAACGCATACCTCTGCTGTCTGCTCACATTCCTGCCTCACCGATACGTTATCTCTTCCAGGGCTATGAGCTGAACGGCATGAAGATCGCCGTGAGATACCCGGACAGGATTCCTCCGGGGATGGGCATCTCCAGGTCCGCCCTCAGAGCTGAAAACCCGCAGGACGAGAACGTCGGGTCGGTGATTTTATATCAGAGATTTAAAGGGACATTGAAAGAAGACGCTTGTGTGAGTTTAGATTAAAAAAATAAAGTTTGGAGCCAGACATGCTGCTGCCTCTGGAGCTTTCAGGCTAAACAACCGCCTCCAGAGTGAAGCAGTTTCTTGCTGAAGGCCAGATTATCAACCCAGACGGATACAGAGTCCCAGAAAGGTCACAGCAGCAGTTTTTTTTAAAGAGCTGCTTTATTTTGTCTCACAATAAGTTATTCGTTCCTTCTGAGCCACGTGGACAGTGTGTCGATCCAGTGAAGGTTGAAGCGTTTGTTGCTCATTATTTACTTTAGCCTGCGAGATAGTTTGAGTGATTGTTAGCTTCATAGTTAGCTAGACAGTTAGTCTTACAGTTAGCCTGGAAAGTTGTCAAAGTTAGCCTCAAAGCTCACCTCAAAGTTAGCTTACAGTAATTCTTATAGTTAGCCTGTAAAGTTGTCACACAGTTAGCCTTAAAGTTAGCTTGACAGTTAGCCTCACAGTTAGCCTTCCAGTTCATCTCACAGTTATCCTAAAAGTTAGCTTGACAATTAGTCTTACAGTTAGCCAGACAGTTTGCCTCAGTTAGCTTGACAGTCAGTCTCACAGTTAGCCAGACAGTTTGCCTCAGTTAGCTTGACAGTCAGTCTCACAGTTAGCCTTCCAGTTCGTATGATATTTAGCTTTACAGTTAGCCTCAAAGTTAGCTTGACAGTCAATCTCACAGTTAGCCTTCCAGTTCGTCTTACAGTTAGCTTTACAGTAAGTCTCTAAGTTAGCTTGACAGTTAGCCTGTAAAGTTGTCACACAGTTAGCCTCAAAGTTAGCTTGACAGTTAGTCTCACAGTTAGCCTTCCAGTTCATCTTACAGTTAGCTTTACAGTAAGTCTCTAAGTTAGCTTGACAGTTAGCCTGTAAAGTTGTCACACAGTTAGCCTTAAAGTTAGCTTGACGGTTATTTGTACAGTCAGCCAGACAGTTAGCCTCAATAAGCTTGACAGTTAGTCTCACAGTTAGCCTTCCAGTTTGTATAACATTTAGCTTTACAGTTAGTCTCTAAGTTAGCTTGACAGTTAGCCTTACACTTAGTTTGACAGCTTGACTCACAGTTAGCTTGACAGTTAGCCTCACAGTTCGTCTGCTCTGGACCTGATTCGTTTCCAGAGTAACCAGGTTTACACTGTGTTGAACTTGATGTGGAACTAAAATAACCTGACAGTAAGTCAGACTAAAGCCCGGCTTATTTGGTGAACTCTCTGTATGAAACAGACCCAGATTTAAACCTCTGGTTTACTGTGGCATACTGGGAGATTTACCAGATTTTGGCTCGAATGAACCGGACGTTCATTTAAACATCAAAGCACAACTGAGTCACTTTTTTAATCTAATCTACTGATTACAGAAACAGAGAGTTGGATGACGGGAGGAACGCAGTTGGAAATCGGAGGTTTGTTCGCCCTTACAAACCTGTCCAGAACCACAGAGGCAACTACTGAAACCACCCCGACGCCTCGGTCTGAATGAAGGCAGGACGTCTTCGTGTTCAGTGCTGACTCATCAACGGTGTCTTCACAGCATGTGGACTTCTGTCGGGCCACAGACACTCATTGGCTAAACTGTTTTTAAGGATTGTTTTTAAGAAATATATCATTAGACAACCAAAATTATCTGGTTCATGTAAACTCGTGATTCCATGACACTGACAGTGTTACAGGTCCATATTTTAAATATCAGTATCCAGAATAATGGTCGTTTAGAACTTACGTATTATCCAAAACGGAGAACTTGGTTTGTCCAAAACAGACTGGTGAGAAAGTCTGACTCATGTGGAATCATTACTCTATGTTCAGCTGGTGATTACTCCATAATTATGCTATTAGCATTGGTCACCAGACTTCAGTATTCCATCACAGTGGAGGTACATTTTTTTACATTTACAAACAGAGAACCAGGAGTCACGACTGTTTTAATTTACATTTATAGAACATACGGTCTGTCAGGAGCCTCACGTGTACGACCTGTTTCTAAATTCTCCGTATTCAGTATGTTAATTCACAAGTCTTCACTGCCGATTATACATTTAATCTTAAGTTGCACTTGTATCCTGCCGCGCTGCAGACAGTTGTAACCGTCTATAACACAGCGCGAGGCAGCGTTTCGTCCTATAACTGGTTCACAGGATGACTTTTAAATGACGTGTTTGGGTGGAACATCTGAGTCTTTGTTCAGGTGCCCCTCCTTTACCGACGAGGTTTGTGTTCTTAAAACAACAATTAAAGATTCTTTCATACTCTGAATTTCTGCCTCGTTATTTTAAACGGTCCAAGCGTTTTACTAAAAAAAAATTACGTTTAACAGGAAAGACGCACATGAAGGTAATTCTACGTTTATTATATGCAATAACTATGTACTACAAGATCCTCTAAGTATGATAATATTCATAGTATGAAGGTAGAACTCTGCATGACTTCATTAAATGTACTGAAGTCACTGGAGATAGAACCCGGCTGATTCTGAGGAGGTCGTGTTGGAGGAACTAAGTTCTGCAGGATCCACCTTGAGCAGCTCTGATGGATGCGAGCGCTGCATGTTTTCTAAACAAATTTCACAATAAATTAGGTTACGACAAAGTAATTAACTCGCAGTGAGCCTGTTTTGGTCCTTCGGGACGTTCGCCCTCCGTCCAGGCAGAAATCCAACTCTGGAGGTAATTGAATTTTCCAACCTGATCGGCCAGTAGGTGGCAGCACAAGCACACGATTCACTGGTGGACTCTTACAGGACTGATTACCTGAAAATACTGCATTTATAACATGTTGTTGTGTGGAGGCAAGTTAAAAACTGTCAATATGAAAGCTGATAAATTAGATTCTGATGACTTATTTTGGCTGAACATCACTAATTATCCGACCAATCCAGCTACAGTTAATATTCCACCGGCAGCATCACTTCTGCCGAGTGTTTGATGAGGAAAATTCACCCCTGAGCAGTTTTGTTTAGACTCTGACATCGAAAATTCTGTCCACGCGTGATGCTAATTTATCCAACTACGAATGCTGCAATAAAATGTGTTTTGGCTGTTGCTGTATTAATTAGAGCTCACTTTCTCCATTAATGTTGCTGCTGTGAAACCGAAAAATCTCCCAAATTAACAACGTGGTAAGACAGAAAAAACATCTTGACTTTAGCGAACGGGTCGTAGTTTCACAGCAGAATATTATCCAGATGTGACCGAGAGGGTCTGAACAACTTTACATTGGAGCCTGATCAATTCTGTCTCCATAGTTAATAAATTTAAGTAATTATTAAGGTATTGTGTTGATATCTTTCACTTTGGATGCTGCAGGTGACCAATAAACTCAGAGGAAAGACTCCCACAAACAGCTGGAAGCAACAAACTCGTTGGCTGTCGTTTGATGCTGCGTTCACGCCGATGCTCAAACTTGGACGTTCAGTAAATTATCTATCAGATGCGTGTGGAGGCGTCTCTGGACCAGTAACTGCACATAAAACCGCTTCCTAACACAGAATATTTCCCATGAAGGGGCAGCAGTGAAACATCGACGCCATGCTGCACCGCGACATCAACCGCGAGGCAATCTGTGAACCGAGAGCGATCTCACATTATTAAAAAAAGAAAAAACAACCCAAGATTGGCTTTTGAAGCGACACCTGTTCATCTCGTCTGAGCCGCCCGAGAGGCCTGAACATCTGTCACGTCTCAACCCCGGTGAGCTCTGAACGGTTTGACGGTGGTAGACTAAGTCTTATGCCCCCATTAGTGGCTGTTTTTGACTTTGTTTACATCCGCTGTCACGTTAAGGGCGTCAGTTTAGATATATTCCTAATAAATGCAAAAATATCCATCAATAACTGATTCATTTGTTGATCAAACTGGGTGTAGTGGACGTTTTTTCAGTGCCATTTTAGTCCACAAGCGCATCTTAGGAACTCAAAAGTCGCCCCGCTATATAAAAAACCATCCTAGTTGATTTAACTCATTAACTCTGGGTGGACGCCATTAAATGTCGTAGAAGTCTTTGTCCTGGTGCCCCTTTGCGAGCTAAACCTCCACAATGTTATCCACTTGCTTTCCGCCTCCTAAACAGTAAGAGGCTCCACCTAGTGGTGCATCCAGGTACTACAACTCATCTACACAACTTGACGCGTATTATCTGGCACAATGGTACCAGATTGGGACTCGGTGTCGCCAAATGCTAAATATTAAATTACCCAGATTGGACCGGGGGCAACGAAACCTGTTCACGACATCCATACACTACGTTAATTATTTCAGGAATTTAATATCATTTGCCAAAACTTTCTCCTGCATGAAATCCAACCTCGGCAGCGATCTGGGAGCGACACGTCAAACCGTGTCCCAGCTCTCCGAACAATTTCAATACGTATTCATGTGTCGCCACAAACTTTGTCAGAAATACCCACATTCAGCTTTTCTATAACTGATCTGCATATGAAGGCTTGAACCCAAAACAGCCGCCGTCTCCGAGGACTTCAGCATCTGTTGGAGCCCAATGAATGCTTCGGCAGCAGAGGAAATGCAAAGTAGATGTTTTTTTTTCTTCAGCAGAAACCTTCCCCATGCGAACGGGTTTTTGAACGTTCTGGACGTCTTTACCGCCTTTCACCTCCCCGACGCTGATCCTGAAGCGTCGACAAGTCGTGCCTCGGTGTTAATTATGAGACTTTCAAAGCAGAACAAAGTTGCTCAGAAACACCTGCTGAGTCATTCCGCATGCTTTTTGAAAACCGACATTAAAATACAGCGTCTACGGCGGCTGCTGCGACACCAATCCGGGCTTTTTTGATGGCGACTTTGGGCTTAATTAGAGCCAGAAAACGTGCGCCGAGGCGTGACGGCAGCAGCAGCAGCAGCAGCCGGCAGCGATTATATCTCGCCTTAACCCTGCCGCTTAAACGCTCTCCTCTGGCCACTTCTGGCCCGAGGAAAGCCTTCATGATGTTCCGGGTGAAATGCCGAAGCACCGCGGCGTTACGGGGACCGATAATGACATCTAGCAGGTGTCAGCATCTGGACGGAGCAGGTTCTTTTTTTTTTTTTTAACTTGCTGGAGTCACTTTTTTTTCTGTCTATTCGGTAATCCAAGATGTTCCTCTCAATTCAGAGAAATAAAAGTCAAAGTAGATGCTGCTGGGATGTAAATGGTATCGATTCTCATTGCTCTGAGTAATGAAACTTGTTCCTACTCGCCCGTACGATCACTTTCAGTCACTGCATTGGAATTGTTTTTTCATTAAAGCGCCACTCGCCTGGTTCATTGCTGCTGTTGTGCTTAAAGTGACGCTTTTGTTAAACGTTAACGCGGAGCAGCAAGGCTCAAACTGGACCGACCGACTTGCCGTTTCCAGATATCAGCCGGTTTTCTGTTACAAACTGAATATGGTTGGATCCAACGTTGGGCGGTTCAGTCGTGCTCCGGGATCCGTCTGCAGCTCCGTGGGATGTTTAATGCATTTTTTTTGTTTCAGCCGATGTGCGTGTAATTGTATAATCGAGTATTTCGAACCCAAAGGGCAGAATCAGAAGTCGCCGCGGTGTCTCGCCCCGGAGCTGCGAACGTTTAGCCAAAAAAACGTGGCCGAAATGTTAAAGAGCTGCAGTTTCAGAAGGAATTAATGTTCGATGTGCTGTTTCCATGAGGAGTCCATTACAGTAAAATCATACGGTGAAGCCCGTTGGATCCAACCGGGCCGCCTCAGAATCAGCAGATTTGTTTTTTAATCTGCAATAACTTTAAAGTTTTAGCTTCACACTATGAATACTTTCAGTTAAAGGTCAAAATCTCACATTTAGCTATTATCCCACAGAATAAATCGTGTCTAGAGATGATCCTGGTGTCGAATGAAGGTACAATGATCCTTTCATGGTCTAGAACTTGTTCCCAGAATTCACTTTTTAAAGTTTTCTCGAGAACAGAAACACATCCAGGGTACCAGTGATGGTTTCTGTGACTCTGTGTCATTAAACTGCTGCAGTTTTGCCGTTCAAACGATGATACATCCCATAATACCGATGCTCAGCGATGAGATTTAGTTGACTTCGACACCTGGAACCCAAAGTGTTCTTCAGCCGTTAGCATTAAACATGTCTATCTGCTGGACTGATGAAGTTATGAGGATTAAAAATAAGTCAAATTTAGACGCGTAACGTTTTTCTTTGTACTTCAAAGACCTGTAGCTGTGAAAATATTTGTAGTCTGATGGTGTAATGTTGCATGGATCCATTAAATATACTGAAGTTACTGCACATTAAACATCAGGTGGAGCTTTTTGGTTGATTTGACTCTTTGGGTTGATCATTTATTTTCTCTCTAAAGCATCTTTCATGCTGCATCTCTGAAGCACCAGTCATTCTTAGCGTTAAGTGTGCAAACACCATCGTGGATCTTACCGAAGCAGCTTGTCGCCGTCGGTCGACGCGCCTCGATTCGCTGCAGCTCCGAGGTCGGCCGACGTCAAACTCTGAGTGGGATTTAATATGCAAGAGTTACTAGCAGGCAATTAGGCCGAAGAGACTTTTCTTTAAAGTTAGCGAGGCCAGACTGGAATCGCTAATGAGACATGAAATGTTGGAAAAACACTGACCACGGAGTCCATTTATCAGCGGTTCTGGAGCTGATGAGCAACTCGATGCTGCCGTTAGAGTTACATGATGAAAAGCTGCTAAATCATTAAAAAATTAAATAAAAATCTCTTTCATTCAGACTCTGATAATTAAAAGTTTACGCTAATTTCAAAATATTGTCACAGTATCGTAAAAACATGTAGAATAGTTACCTCATCGTAGCAGAAGTGCTGGAAAAGCTTCACCTGAACATCCGAAGCAGCAAAAACGTGTTTAACTCTGACTATGTTTATTGATCGTTTATTTAAAATATTTAATAAGTATTTTAATTAAAAGAGTGTTAATTCAAAATGGCCACCATTTTAAAATCCATGTAGCTAATGTTCTTGGACGAAAAATTGACGAAATTGGCCAAAGGACACCAGCTACATGAATTTTTTTAAATGGCGTCCATTTTTCAAGATGGCCGCCATTTCCGATATGCAATCCAATGTATTATCACAAAGCGTGATCTTGTAGAGTGGTTTTGTTTGGTTATGGCATCAGAATATCTGGAATTTAGCCGGTAAAAGCCATTTTTGTGTGTTATAAAATGATAATTACTCGTTAATGGCATGTTTACATCTAAAAACCTTCCTTCATGATCTTGTTGTGGCTCGTTTTGGTCCCAGGAAGCTATCTGCAGTGGTTCGTTTGCATGAATGAAACAGTTTGAAAACTTAAAACGTTCATTTGGATTCTTTTTTTTCCCAGTAAAATCTCATTAATTCAGACTCTGGTACGTGTTTGTACCTGTGTAATAGTTACCTCGGAGCAGCCGCAGTCCTTGAATATTCAACACAGCATCACGTACCACATAAAAACATGTTTAATTTCAAACACGCACTAACATGGTTGGAAAAAACATGTCTATTGAAAGAAAAAGTAGTTTTGTTTTTTTTTTTTAAGGGGGAGGAAATTGTGCTTCTTTCACTTTCTACGCTTGAGTCCAGTTGGACACAGTTTCAACGCCGTTTAAAGCTGAAGGCACCTGTGTTTCATCCCTCCTGATCTCTCTGAGTCCCGGAAACAAATCACGCTGTTCGTCCGCGAGTAGAAAAATAAACGTGGTCCGACTCTGAGAAGGCGGCCGCGGTTCTCCGGTACGGATTCCTGATGTCCTGCGGAGGAGGAAGTTGCGGCGCCTGCAGCCTCGGAGCAGATGTCGTCGGCGTCCTCGGCCTCCAGGTCAGCTCCAGAGGCAGATGTTGCTCATGGCCTGGCAGGTGGAGCTGCTCTCGGCGGGGGAGAGGTAGATCTTACCGCTGGGGCAGACGCAGACCTCGTACAGGGCCTGGTCCTCGGAGGCCCGGCCGCCCGACGCCCCGTAGACGCCGAGCGGGAGGCTGCCGAGCTGGATGGTGTTGGCGTCCAGCAGGATCTGGAAGTCATTCAAACAACAGTCAGCGGTGATGGATCGCCGGCCGGAGCTGACGAATGGCTCCGGTGCAATCAGCAAATACGACGGAGTGAAATACGGTCGGGACAAAAAGTCAGGACGGTCCGGATCGGAGCAGAAAACTGACGGTTCTGAGCCACGCTGGAGCCGTGACTCATCGTTAAGATGTAGATGCTGGAGATAAGAACTAGTTTCACTTTTACTGAGATTCTACACTGTAAAAAATCCACAGGAAGCAGTGAAAGTAGCAGCAAATACATGTAGAATAAAGAGCAGATTTAAATACTGCAAAACTCTAAAGTGATGCTCAAATTAAAAGAACAAATTAGTATCCGTGAAAATCTATTTTCTTAGTTTTTTTCCCAGTGATTTTCCAAGTAATTTAACAAAACATTTCTCAGTCCTGATATACGAACAGCATCACGACATGATGTTCTTATTACAGCAATTTCTGATTTATTTAAAATGTATTGTTTGTTTAATATTTTATTTGAAATGGCGGCCGTATTTTAAATTCATGTGGCTTATCAACCTAATCAACCCAACTTTTTAAACGTTAGCTACACACATCTTCAAAACAGTGGCCAATTTTCAAGATGGCCGCCATTTCTGATGCACAATCCGATGTATTTTTACACTGCACAAACTCCATTTTCTTGGGTTTTGGTCAGTAGAATCCAAATTTGCCTGTTCTAACACGATAACTTGCGCCTTAATATCATGTTTCGGTATAAGAATCTTTCTACACGTCAGTCATGCTGATGTTTTTAACGCTATTCGTACGTTCTCAACATTTTTCAAGATGGCCGCCATTTCCAATTTGGAATCCGATATACTTTTACATCATTTTTCTGTCACCTGTGAAAACAACTGTATTTTGTTGCTGATTTAACTACAGTATAAATTGTGCGATTTTTTTTGCGCTCTAAGTAATTTGTGAAAACGCGTCCTGTTTTCTTTACAGTTAACGTGTAAATTAATACGTTCTCCTGAAATTTTTACTGAATATTATCTAGAATTTAACAAAAGAAGAAGTCTAAATATGAACTAGCCATTTTTCAGTGCTTAACATAATTTTTCTTTACAATAACAACAAATATCTCTGAAATAACTTCATTTTTCTGACTCAGATTCAGTAAAAAATGGTCTAAAAATATAAATCTGTAATGTGGACGTTACTATTTACAGTTTTAACAGTCACCATTTAAGTTAATCCTAGATATAATCTTTAATTTAACCAAACAGAAGAAGTCAGTCGAGCGCTGTAAAAGAATTAATTATAAAAATTCTAAATATTTACAGTTTTGGTCCGTTTTTATTGTGAACATTTAAAATATTGAGATTTCTGAGATTTTTCTAGTTTTTACCTGTAATTTTACAAAAAAAGGAAACTCTAGAATAAATAGTTTTCATATTTTATAGGTTCAAATATTAACTTCTGAGGATTTCAAAGCCAGTTTTATGAGAAGCTAAATGCAGTGAACATGTTATAATCAGAAACACTGAACGTCAGCGTGACTATAAATAGAGAGAAATAAAACAGAGCAGTGAGGAGGATGAGAAAGGACGAAGCTCTGAGCTCCTCCTCACCTCGCCCTCCGTGGACTCCAGCTGCAGGTCCTTCCGGCCGCTGACCTTCAGAGGGCCCCTGGCGGCGCTGACCTCCACCCCTCTGGGAGCCTCCATGGTCAGGGTTCGTGTTGGAGACTCCAGCCTGCCCAGAAACACAGCGAATCAGAGGATAACCTGCTTCTGTGCTGCAGGGCTGGTTATTAACAGCTCAGTGTTACTTCTATTATTTCTGCAGCTCCTCTCGTTATTTCAAACAGCTTCTAATCACATCAGCTGATTCTGACCTTCAGCAGCACTGAGAGGAAAGCCGACTGTTTGTTCACACCATGAGCCTGAGAGCCAATCAATGAGGAATCTGTTTTTATAACTCATAACAAATTGATTTCTCTCCCTTCCATCTTCATCTTCCCCAAATCTGTTTTCAATGAATTTTAAACGGGAGACTTTAAGGAGCCGCCTTGAAATCGCTTAAATCTCCAAACGGCTCTGAAAGCGACACACAGTCTGGATTATGCGAAGAGCAAATGAATTTCATCTGCATTTGAAAAGCCTGTCGGCGGATCCGGTCTGAAGGGGATCTGTGAAATGCGCCTTTGACCCGGGACTGTTTGTGCTTCAGAACCGAACCGATAAATAAACTGGATTTCTGCTCAATTACGTTTTTTTTGTTTGGCTTTTTTTACTCGTCTGCTGCACAGTTTTCCTTCCAGAAAGCTGCTCAAACAGCAGATACACTGGAGAAACCAACGGCGTCACAACATGATTTTCTTATTACAGTAAGATTATGATTTATTTGAAATGTATTATTTATTTCATATTCTATTTAAAATTGCCAATGTATTTAAAATTCGTGTTGCTTGTCAACCTAATCAACCCATTTTTTCATACATAAACATTCGCTACACACATCTTCAAAACGGTAACCATTTTTCAAGATGGTCGCCAAATGTGATGTATTTTCACACGGTATGAACTCGATTTTCTTGGTTTTTGGTGTCAAAATATTTGAAATTTGGCCATTAGAATCCAAATGTACCAGTTCTAACGCGATAACTTGCGCCTTAATATCATGTTTCGGTATAAGAATCTTTCTACACGTCAGTCATGGTGATGTTTTTATCTCTATTTGTATGTTCTCATCATTTTTCAAGATGGCCGCCATGTCCGATTTGGAATCTGATATATTTTTTACAGAACATGATCTCGAAGAGTGATTTGCTTGGTTTTGGTGTCCACATTTGTTTCTTGTAACGCAATAATCATGAGAGTCATGTTAACTTTTCGGTGTTCGTACGTTCTTAAGAGTGTGGTCATTTTTCAAGATGGCCGCCATCTCCGAGGCACAATCCGATGTATTTGTCACCCGGCACGAACTGGGAGAGCGATTTTCTTGGTTTTGGTGTCAAAATATTTGGAATTTACCGAGTAGAATCCAGATTTGCTTGCTCTAACGCGATAACTTATGCCTCAAGAGCATGTTTCGGGACGAGAATCTTCCCTCATGTTGGTCATGTTAACTTCTCGCTGTTTGTACGTTCTGAAAATTGTGACCATTTTTCAAGATGGCCGCCATTTCCGATATGCAGTCTGATATATTTTTACAAAGCATGATCTCATAGAGCGATTTTCTTGGTTTTGGTGTCAAAATATTTGTATTTTAGCCAGTAGAATCCAAATTAGCTTGTTCTAATGCAATGATTTACGCCTGAATAGCATGTTTCGGTACGAGAATCTTCAAACACAACATTATTAGTAGTAAATTCTCACAACTGCAAAAACTTGGACTTCCGGAAATGTGGCTAGTTTTTGTCCATGGAAGCCATCGTTTGCGTGAATAAAACCACCATTTAAAGTCCCTTTTGCAGTCCCGACAGCAGCAAAACTCTCAGTAAAACCAAACTTCGTTCTGTTACGACTCTGAAATAACGAGATTTTACTGTATTTAGAAAGTTTATGGGTTCTTTCTGTTGCCAGAATCAAACTGTAAGGAGCCAAAAGCGTTTGAAAAAACAAAGATATTATAGCAGCCATTTTGAATTGTCGCGTTTTTTTCTAGATGCACAATTTGACAATAGAAGCTATTTTTCGATCATCTGTGCCGCCACATTTCTTCTGGTTCGACGCTCCTCGGCTTCAGCAATTATTCGCCATGAATCTCCTGATTTTCCACGACAGACGAGTCATTAAGAACATTTTAAAGTCTTCGCACTGCGCGGTTAGAAATTAGAAATCAGCGCCACGTTGTGCGACGTTTCCACTCAGCGCCTGTCATCGCGCACCGAGCGGGCAGCTCTGCCAGAAGACAAAGTGCTCAATTTCCAGGAGTGCTCGCTGGAGACGCAGTCCAGAATAAAGCATTAAACGAATTAAATTAAATTAAAAATGTCTCTCGTGTTTTATAACCGCCGCCTCCATTATCACGCGTGCTCTCTGCGAGGCTCCGACAGCAGCCTCAAGTCACATTTCACTTCACCGCTGACTGGTGCAGGCAGGAGCCATTAATGAGGCGCCATTTAAAATACATTACACGTGTTTAATTAGAGCGGTTTAAGCTCCGCATCCCTGGTAATCGTATTAAATATGAGTGAAGCAGCATTCTGATCCAAAGAAAGTCTCAACACTACATATATTATTACATATATGACTCATAAAAGCCGTCCACACTATGTAGTGCTCACATTATTACGCCACCAAATTTTACATTCGTATGTCAAATACTTGCCTCTCCACCCAATTACAGCGCTTAAAAATAAAGTCAAGGCTGTTTGAACGACAACATCTGAGGAACTACTAAAGATGAAAACCTGAAATTTTCACTCTCATCGTGTCATTGATTCAGAATCTGTAATATTGGACGAGTAGGTCGATATGTGTAGGTTTGTATTATTGTGAAATGCAGCTGCACATTTTTTGGAAAATGCCACTAGCTGACATCTGCGTTACTCCAACTCAGCCACAATCAGAGACTATTTGATCTAATTATCCAATATATTATAGATTCTGAATCAGTGACATGATGAGAAACAACAGAGAAGATTTCAGGTTTTTATCTTTAATAGTTCCTCAGATGTCGTCGTTCAAACAGCCTCAAGTTTCAACGTGAGACACAATGAGCTGAATTACTTTACAACAAAAAAATCCCTGAAAGTATCCGATGTGTCGCGCTAAATTCAACGAAACATATTTATAAACGTCCATAATTTAATCAGAGGTGGTGGAGAACAAGCTGTTCTGGAAATATGTTGATGTGAGATGGAACAACCCAACAACACGTCAACAAGGTAGGAAAAAAATGTATTTACAGGAACAAAACAACAAAAACAAGAACAAAAAAATCTCCAGTTATTTCAAATTTTAAATATTTTCCAAGAAACGTTCCTGAAAAAACTACTTTTAATTTGCTAACTCAGGCATGTTTACATTGTACAATGTTGATTAATGTGCATTGTCCCTTGACAAATAAGTAAGTAAATAAATAAATAAAGACAATCCTTTTTAGCAATTAAACAGCCGACGTGTATTTGATGTTACAAATAAAATCTTTGGAATAATTCAAGTTTAAACACGAAACTTTCTTAAAAAGCTTTTTTAGTATGTTTTACATGTTTAATTAAAATAGAATTCGTCGACATTTATCCTTCAGTTCTGATTGGCTGCTACTGGTGACGCGTAACCAATCAGATGGCGCAGTGGGCGGGGCTTAGCTCAACACTTTACATGAATTTATTGGGAATCGCTTTAAAAAACACGGTGCAGATAATCAGAAAAATGCCCTTTTCTCTATTTCTGTTGAACAATTTTCCTCTTTCAGTCCAGCTGCTTGATGTTTTCATGCAAATGTATCGCAAAAGGAAAAGATGATTGCATGTTTTCATCCGAGGGAGGCTTAAATTTTCCCATTTTGCAGAGAAAACAGTTTTGAAATGCCTCGACGCCTGAGAGCTTCGCCGTCACCAGATTGAGCGATGAGGCCTCGTCCTCCTTCGTGACAAAGAGCTTATTGCTTCGGCACTATTTTTAGAGTTTCTTCCACAAACCTCTGATGATAAGTGAAGCCCTGGCAGGAGATAACTTGTGTGGTATTTGCGGCCATAAAGGCTGTTTATGACGGACTTGGTTCTGCAGGAAACCAACCTTGTGTTGTTTTTTTTTTGTGCTGCATTCGGGCTGACCTTTCCATCCACGGAAAGGTCGACGCTGTAGAGGAGGAAGCCGAACGGGACCAGATGTGCTGACGGTGCCAACGAGGAAGACGTTGGTTTGAACACCGCGTGTCCGAAGGTGAAACCGTCACACGAAGGATTCCAACGAGATTTACAGCCTTTGGTCTGCGTTCTATAAGTGGATGTGGTGAGTAATGAGCGGCAGCGATCCAAATCGTAACCACTGTCTCATGCAGTTGGCTAGCGTGGATACTGGAACGTAACACCAGCACAAACCAGTAAAAGCTGGTTTACTGGTACAGGTATAGTTTCTAGCTCTTGGAACTGGGATTCTCTGTATTTTTACCTTTGAATAAAACAAAAAGCATCTAAACGAGGAAGCAAGTTTGAGCTTTAAGAGTTCATTTTAAGTGCATGTATGGGAACATTGAGGCAGAAAACAGCCTCATTTGTTGTTAAATACCAACATGAAGACAACATCACTGTGCACATACGATGACGGTGTATAAACCCTGGCAAACACCAGTTTTTGAGTCCACATCAACATTTTTTCATGTCAAAATAGCAAAAAATTGACAACATGTCTGATGTTAGAGCCTCAAATGTTGTTAAAATGTCAACCAAAGACTGTATTTTAGTAGAAAACATGGAAACATCCATAATTATACACTCACAGGAAGTTTCTTGGACCACCGTCCTTCTTTTAATGGCCAACATTTAAAAATGTGGCCCCTGCTGGAGCCACTTAATCATTTAGATCTGCTGAAAATATTTCTTTGTGGGTCTCCACCAAATTTAATGGCTGTTGGAGTTCTATTTCTGAAGATGTTAAACCTTTAAAATGACATATGAGACACATAAGACGTTTTTTTGTTTAAGGGTGAGAGTATAAAAACCTTTAGGTCTCAAATCATCATCTGATTTTGTAGCAGAATGGTGACTTTGAAAGGCTGTTGGGGCACAGACGGCAGGAGCTTCA